TCACGTTATAACGCCCCCACGGCTGAAAGGGCGAGCATGCTTGGTGGGACGGGGATTCGAACCCGCGAACCTCAGATTGCGAGTCAAATCACCTGGCCATGACGGGCCCTTGTTCATTTGGTTTTGCATTAAAAGAACAACTTAAACTTTGCTAACAAGACATATTATAAAAAGTAGAATTTGGTTAACAAATAGCAAGAACATGGCAATTTCAGTACGAGAAATACGTCGGTATAAAAGCTTTGTTTAATGAAGAGCAACTATCACGCATCAAACTGTTCTTGGAACACGTATTTGTGAATTTATTGCACGGCTATTACTTTAACACGAGTAAAACAAACAGGACTCACTGTTTGGAGATATCTGGACTCGTGAATTAAAAATAACATTTAAAGTTAAAATAGAGGGTATCCGAAAAGTATGGAATCATAAGCACTTCAAAAAAGTTTACAGAATGTGTTACACATGCTGTCCTTGTTATTCTGAACAAGTTTGGATTAATAGAGTATTAACTCGACCTTCTCATGTTTTGACAACGCTATAATCAGTTATTTATCTGAAATGAAAAAAAAACAACAACTATAAATCACCTGTGGTTTCAGACTTTTTGGATAACCTGTATATTCATTATCTTTGTTTCATAAAAAATTGCATCAGCATACGAGATATTTAAATCTCTTTAAATAACTGACTTGAACCTTAATTAAAATAGCTTATTTTTTTCTGGGACGGAGATAAGCTATTAGTAAACAGAGAGATATATTTAGAATTCGCATCAAAAAGCAATTAGGTATAGAACTTTTCAGTTTTATCGTTATCATTAATCAGTTAAATCCTTCGTACGCCGAGACGGCATATGAGAGCAAATCCTGAACTCTGGCATAGTTGGCACAAGAGGATGAGAATAGTGACACATTCCCCCTGAACGGATTACCAATCCATCGTTGTTTAACCCCCCATTTAACAGCTGTATAGACTGGACTAAAGGTGTTTTGCTCAAGTACGCAACAACATCATTAGGAACAGCGTTGAACTCGCAACCATTTGACAACGAGTGCAAAGTTCGAAGCCACTGAAACACGCTGCCCCCGTCGTCATCACAGCCAAAGCTGTTTCTTCAGCAAACGATACATAGTGTTTCTTATTACATTTAATTGTTAAATGACACCTGAGGTCAAATAACAGGCATTTCAAGTATAAAATATTGTTTCGATGTTATATGTTAGAGTATCAAAACGTAATATAATATACTGTTTAATGTATGTATGGAACTCTAAGTGATATAATATACAAACATTTCTATTTTTGTTACATCACACTTTACTAAAGTATATATTACCATGACATCAGATATAAAGTTATAACATTGGTCGAAGTTTTATTTCAGTATTATCTACTGACCTGCTCTCTATGAGAAATTTGTCTCCGCTGATTTCCCTACAGACACCTTTACTGGAGAGAGTACCATTGTAAATTAATATTGGATCCTGGACTCCTTTCTGGAACCAACTGCCTGACCACTTGTGAGGATATTGACAGTTTCCTACAAAAAAAAAAGAAAAAAGAGAAATAATTAAGAGTATACTATATTTCTTAAATGTTTTATTTGTTAGTTTGTAATTAAGCACAAAGCTACACAATGGGCTATCTGTGCTCTGTCCACCATTGGTATCGAAACCTGGTTTCTAGTGTTGTAAGTCCACAGACATACCGCTGTACCTCGGGGGTATGTGTCTTAAATGCCCTGAAAACAGCATTAAAATCAATATTTACAGCCCTTGGTCTGAAATAAAGAAATAATTATTTTAAGATAGTATTTTACTTTCAGTAATAGAGTTCCTCATAACAGATAGAATTAATTAACCTCTTTAAAGTAATAATAATAATATTAATCCGATACCAAAGTAAAAAATAAATAAATCAGAAACCGAATAGCGTTTAAAAGTATATTTCAAAGATGAGAGGTTCATTAGAATATATATTTATTTACTCATGTATATTTATATGTATTAAGTATGGCAGAAGTTTCACAGACTTGTTGAAAATGAAGGCTTGTTCTCATGTTGAAAGCATAAGAATAATTCCCAGTTCTTATAATACAGTTTGTTGCTAAATTTTCACTTTATTTAATTTAACTATAATCCCAATCAAACCTATTTTCATTCTCATGCTATCTGTAAACTTTGAATTCTGACTAATTTTCTAACTCAGAACATTCACATCCGTATTTTGAAACAAACTCACTGATCCAGCCTACTGCTGACACGTTCTTATAATAACTTCATTCTGACTAACATATACGCGCCATCATAAAAATAATATACAAGGGCCAAATGCGTCAAGCGTTTACAATAAATAACGAAAATATTAAACAGTATACACAACATGACGAATCATTTCCTGCCCTCTTCTCAAATTGTTAATGTCCTAAACAATTTTCACAGTTTATCGGGATTTTGTTTTTTCAATTTTCCTTCTCAGTACACTAGAGCAGTTATATTTGGTAATCTTCATCGGAATTATCATCACTAAATCCAGGGGGATTGTCTTCAAGGTTTTGATCTTTGGATGTTTCCGTGTAATTCGAGAGCTCTGGTACGCCGCTTTCTCTAGTTTTCAAACGATTTATCCCTGACTCAGCACTTTAGGTCTTACGAACCCCAACGTTTCTTTATTTTATGCAAGTTCCTCCTCTGGTCTGGTTTCTTGTACAGGTTACAAATAGAATATTTTCTCACTTTTGTGCCTCCACAGCCTGTCACGATGAAAAGCATTTTGGCTCGGTATGTTTATTCTTTCAAACACACTTACAGACTTATCGATCCTCTTTATATATATATATATATATATATTATGAGTATTCTCAGCATCAACTTAACTTTCGAGATATACATTTTTTTAACTATAGTTTGCATTGCCACACCATATCACAATACTTGTACGCAAATTTTCAATTTTTAACATCATAGTATCGCTTCTAAACCTTTCTTCTTCAGAGGCGAAACTGTGGAAAGTGTTGACATACATGTTGCCGTACAGGAAAAAGCTTGTTTTTTTTTATTCCCAAGATGCTACCCAAGACACCTTTCTGTGGTCAGAATGATTTCCACAAGTCTTCCATATTTTGATAAAACTAATTCATCAACTTTGCCCTCGTCTACTTGTTTACGTTGTTTCAAAGGCAAATTAGATGAAGTGTAATCGAACAAACATTTATGGACAACTTTCTTGGAGAGCTTGGATGACGGACTACTTTCGATGGACTCAGGTGAAGACTTGAAGAAAATTTACGCATGGAAACGTCATCTCTAGGAAGTCGTCAGTCAAACACTTCATGCACATGTTTCATTACTCATATGCAGCAGTGGACGGACAGTTATAACAGTATAGTGTGAGATTACCATTTAAAATTGTGTTGGCTGCTGTACGGCCAACTGGATAGTTACAACAGTATAGTGTGAAAGTTCCATCTAAACTGTATCTGCTGATACAAAGGCCACTGAACAGTTAAAACTGTATAGTGTTAGAGTACGAATTTAAAACAGCGTGTACTGTTAAGACAGCGGACCTCATGTCAGCAGACACCGTGTTAAATGCTACTCCAACACTGCATTGTTGTAACTGTTGAATCCGGTTCTTCTGGATACTTAATTTTTTTTACCATACAGTTTGCCATTCGGAACCACTTTTTCACAGATTGGCAATATCCGAACCAGGAGAGTCATACATCCAGCCTCTCTAATCTTCTGAATGGGAATGTGGAACTAGCTATGACATTTTCCTTTCAATATTTTGAGTATAACATACCTCCAATGCCAGAGTCATTTAAATCTGGGCCTAGTGTCCGTAGTCTTGCTGGTATTGGGAAAGCAGAATCTGAAGTTGAAATAAGAGCAGTGAATGAAGGTCTGATTAGAATTGACAATCCTACAGAAGGCGTGTGATTTCCATAAAATCTTATAAAAAGGACGCACAAGCCAAACAATGTCATAAAAAACGCCATTTTCAGAACTAACGCAAACCCAGAAATCCTTTGTTTTTTATCTTCTTTGACCCTGACCAATTTTGTAATGTTTCAAGTTGTATTGTATTTGCTAACACTCCTAGGATTAATGATATGTTCAAGATCTTAGTTACTGCATAAAATATTTTTAGATCAAATTCAATATTACCCCTACTAAATATTTTTACGGTCCATCGCTAGCGTCACTGGAAGTATCAAAGGCTCGTTGTCGCAAAACTATAAAAATATGATATGCTATGGTATTACAATTAAAATACATTTCATTAAGCTTTCGAAAGTTACTGGAGCATTGGTGTGTTCAAGCATTTGATCCGTATGAAGAGTCAAAATGAATTATATGCGGGAAATGTTCTCTTGGCTTTCTTAATAAACTTCTAGTTGCCAGTTATTCATTCATTCATAAAATACAAGCTTGAAACTAAAGTGATGCCAAAAATATCAAGAATAGAGTAGAATTATATATTCTTCACATATTCTTCCTGCTAACGTCGTTCACCTAAATGTAATGCACGCAGAGGTACAACAAGTCAATGTTTTCTTACAAAAACAAGCAAGTAATACTAGTTTCTATCACAAATAGTTTATGTTCTAATTGAACTAAAATGGGAGTATTAATGTAATATCAAGAAATTGGTCTTTAGCTAAATGTATTAACATTATTACAAAATATCAAATAATCACTAACAGGAAAAGAGAAGAATAAGTTATAAGAATACAGAGAATAGATATAAAGATATAGAGAATAGATATAAAGATATAGAGAATAGATATAAAGATATAGAGAATAGATATAAAGATACAGAGAATAGATATAAGGATACAGAGAATAGATATAAAGATACAGAGAATAGATATAAAGATACAGAGAATAGATATAAAGATATAGAGAATAGATATAAGGATACAGAGAATAGATATAAAGATACAGAGAATAGATATAAAGATATAGAGGATAGATATAAGAATATAATACTTTACACAGACTGAAAATTTTGGTTTTTAACTTGGTGATATTTAAACACAATAACAGAAAAACGTCCAATGATTTATCCTCTGTTTATAGATATGTTGAAACGAAATTATTAATACATTCAAAATGGTCATCGTCAGTTATTACATTTCATACTCAGCCTGGAACTCCATTTGTTCTTGTTTCATGTTTATTATTTGTATAAGTAAATTCATTAAAGATTAAAATCAATACATTGATCTGCCATGACTACCACAAAAGCAGAACTAAAGCTCGTCATTAACAATATTACTGCCTTAAAACAACAGCCCATACTAATTCACTTGCTTATGAATAATTTACCAAGCAGGTACGTTTTTAATTTATTTTAGGAAGTGGTTCTGATAATTATTGTTTTGTTTTGGTAATTCTCTTCAACATCCTAATTCCACTCTCGTAACATTACTAATCACCATTGTTATATAATGTTTACAAATCGTATATCAATAATATAAGTATTTCTTTAATTCTGTTTTACACGAATAATTAATATTAAAGGTAAGAATTGTCTTCCTATAAATATTGGTATTGCATGTTCACATTTATTACAGTATACAGGAGTAGTGTTGTTTGGTTTTTGTTGTAATTGGTTGGTTTGACGCCGTTTTACTCCTAATGAATTTTTTTATAAGTAATTTATGAATAATACACAATTCTTAAAATTTCATCGAAAGAACATATTTTAGGTTTAGTAGTACGTTAACATTACAAGTAATTTTACCTTTTCCTTTGAATTGTGTGAATTCCATGTAGTCGTTTAATTAGTTATTATTCCAAATAATATTTTATCTACTACTGGATCTGATAGATATATACATGTGAAAACAATTTCTAAGTACATTTGACAAAATGGCCTTTTTATATTTATATTAACCTACTGTTAATATATTGTGAATTATATCTTACAACTTATCAAAATTTGTATGGATGACAAATAAAACAGGAAAAAGTATACCTGTATATTTTAAACATGCAGCTCCGTTTATAATAATATTAAGATATATCAATCAGTGTAGAGGTAGCTGTTTTTAAGCACAAAGCTACACAATGGGCTATCTGTGTTCTTCTCATCACGGGTATCAAAGCCCAATTTTTAGCTTCCTGAGCCTGCAAATGTATGACTGATCCTCTAGAATGCATCCAAAAATATAAACATTAATACAGATATTCTCAAAATTTCAAAGGTTGGTTGAAGTTTATTGGCGCAAACAACTTAGGCTGTCAACGTCAAACAATATTAATTATTTAGATTCTTTAACTTTATTATAAAACAACCAATAAAAATGAATGAGGATAAAAATAAATACAAAAACGAAAAAAAGATAAAAATATGTAAAACATATTTTTTTTCTTCTTCTTATTCATAAATAGGAAAAGTTAAAATTAGTTGGAAAAGCTAATGGTCTTTTAAAAAATTGAAAATCCGATCAAGCTGGATAGTGTCATAATTGCCAATGACACTGTGTAATGCTACATACGCATCATCATACAAAATAGGTCTAAAATTATG